ATGTTTATACATTCTAGATACACGTCCTTCATCAGATATATGAATTGCAAACATTTTCTCCCATGCTTTGGGTTGCCTTTTCATTTTCTTGATGGCATCCTTCGAAGCACAAAAGTTGTTAATTTTGATGTCCAGCTTATCTACTTTTGTTGCTGCTGTTGCTTGTGCTTTTGGTGTCATGATAAAGAAATCATCGCCTAATCCAAGGCCATGAAGATTTATACCTATGTTTTCTTGTGAGAATTTTATAGTTTTAGCTCTTACATTTAGGGCTTTGATCCATTTTGAGTTACTTTTTATACCTTATGTGGTATCCATATCTTTTTATAGATGCAGACTAAATAATTTTTTTTTCTCTTTTTTGCGCTACGCGGGCCTCTCCCTGCTGTGGCCTCTCCCGTTGCGGAGCGCAGGCTCCGGACGCGCAAGCTCAGCTGCCATGGCTCACGGGCCCAGCCGCTCCGCGGCATGTGGGATCTTCCCGGACCGGGGCACGAACCCGCGTCCCCCGCATCGGCAGGTGGACTCCCCACCACTGTGCCACCAGGGAAGCCCAGCAGACTAGATAACTTTGAGTTGAATATACAATGACTGTAATTTAGAACACTTCAGAAAAAAACAGATGAAGCAAATATAGCAAAATTGTGACAGCTGCCAAATCTAGGTGATCGTTTATGGGTGTTCATTTTACTGTCCTCTCTGTTTAAAAATTATTTTTCTTTAAATAATAGAAAGTAAAAGATATAGAAATAAAAATCGGAAAAATACTTGATTATGAGTGAAAATGCCACTAATTGAAGAATAAACTTGCATCCACTTTAACTTAAATTATTTATAAACATTAGCATTTTATAATTAGTTGTAAAGCATCAGACTCCTAATAAAAACACCTGATAGAATGGATGCCTCAGGGTGTCTTGGCATTGCTCTTAGGAACCAGTGTTCTAGAGCTTCTCACTCTAATATGGCAACTACCAGTCACATGCGGATGTTGAACACTTGAACTATGGTAAATCTAAACTGAGGTGCACTGTAGGTGTAAAGTATACCTCGTACTTCAAACACTTGGTATGAAAAAACTGGAAAATATCTAATGAATAATTTTAATATTGATTACAAGTAGGAGTAATAATGTTTGGGGATATATTAGGTTAAAGTGTATTATTAAGATAACTTCAGTGGTTTCTTTTTACTCTTTTTAAATATGGCTACTAAACATGTAAATTACATACATGGCTTGTATTACATTTCTTTTGGACAGCACTGTTCCAGAAAACAAAGGGCTGAGCTAGAAGGTCTGCATTCTAATCCCCTTACTGCCTTTTACTAGCCATGTGACTTTGGGCCATTTCTTCCATTTCTCAGCCCTAGGATAGTTGAAAATAAATTCATTCAGAAAATATTTAGAGCTCTCACTATACAGAAAGAACCTGGCTAAATGATGCGGGGAATACAAGATGTGAAGCTGTTCACAAACTCAAATGAGTGCTTTCCCATTTCAGCCCTATCCATGAGTCAATGAAGACAGAAGTCAACAATGTAAATATCTTATCATTTTAATTTTCTCCACTAACATTTTATCTTAAAGTAATGAATATTTTATAATACGTTCATGGTCTAAGATTTTATGTACACATAGTAGATGTTATTTTCATCCTCTGGGTCTTGAGTCTTTGAACGTGTGTTCCATTTTCTTGGGGGCTTCCTCAACTCCACGTTCTGTCCAAGAAGTCAGTGCACTGGGGTAGACAGCTGGTGGACTGGCGGACCTAATATTCATGCCCTTATGTTGTCCCATACCACTTTGACGCTGGTCTTGGCCATGTGACTTGCTTTGGCCAATGGGACATTAGCAAACAGGATAAAAGCAGAGGCTGGATAAGCTCTTGCTCATTGAGGCTTATCTTCTTGGAACCCTCTTTCTTGGAACCCTGCAGCCATGCTGTGAGGAAGCCCAAGCAGCTCTAAGGAAAGGCTCACATGGAGGAAGAAAGGGACAGTGGTTTGTTCAGACAAGTGGTTCTTAACCTGGGGGTGATTTTACTCCTTAGGGGACATTTAGCAATGTCTGGAGATACTTTTGGTTGTCACAACTGGTGGGGAGGTGCTACTGGTAGAGGCCAGGAATGCTGCTAAACATCCTACAAGGAACAGGACAGGGCCCACAACAAAGAATTACCCAGCCCAAATGTCAGTAGTGCCAAGGCTGAGAGACCCACTCTAGACCAAGGTCCCCCCAACCTGGATGCTATGGATCAAGGATAAAGGGGCTTGGGAGAGAAAGTGTTCACACTTAAATAAAGATCAGCTTTCTGGACAGTCTGCTACTCATGGTGATTTTAGATGACTCTCATCCATCCCAGTGGGACATTTCCCCTTGTTTACCCTCAGCATTTAAGCATAGTAACTCATCAAAGTGTTGTACCAACAACCATTTTATTAGTTGCCCCAACCCAGATATTGCTTCTCCCTGGTAGTATTGAAGTCATGGTTTGTGGCAATTCAATCATAGCTTCCAAGTGCCCGACCATAACAGACTTGGAGGACAGGGGCTTTAACTTCTACTGTTTTACAGAGTCTGTCCGTTTTGTTATCAAAGAACTGCAGCCCCACCATGCCAACAAGAAGCCACTTTCCCTCTGAGAAGAATGTGTATATATTTTGTCTATGAGAGAAATTTTAAGGACATAAAAATTATAGTAATACTGTTGGTAGTAAATTTTATTAGGAGAATTTAAAGTAATTACACTGGCAGACTCATTCAATAAAAATTTTAAACATGTTTGAGTATGAGTATAAATCTCATTGCTATGGTAACTATCCATAGAATACATAGATAAGAGAGCATTGCAAGAAGGGTTCCCCCCCCCCCCCAAAATTAATAGAGCACATATACATCTCCCGGCGGAATGAAAAAGGGGCAGAGGTGCTGCCATAACTACCACTTTGGACAGTTTTTTGGTAAGCAGGCAGATGCAGGAGTTTAAAAGAAACACGTGATGTGCTAGGCAGTCTGATTTGCAAAGTACATGGACCCAGATGAAAAATTCCAATGATATGAATAATCCCAACAATCCCCCAAATCCCCAAAATATGAAGTCAGATTAGAGCAGGCTACAGCCCACCTGCGAGTGGCCTTGTCTTGTTGATGGAGAGCCAATTCTTGGCAACATTAGGTGAAACCCAGCCATTTATCCAACCTGTTTAATCTGTTTTCATTGAGGAACGTTAAACTGTGACCAGCATCATCAACGCGCGAGCCCTCCACGCCCGTGGAACACATTCTCTTCCCCAACATTTGGTTTGTGCCCAGAGGTTGGTTTGGGAGTGTATTTGCTTCTTGAGAAAGACTTTTTGCTCCTGTCTGCAGGGAGGGAAGGGAAGGCGGGGCCTCCAGGGACGTGGAGGGCTTCGGCTGGGGGCCACCGGGGCGGACTGCGTTCCTGGGGTCAGGCCTTTGAGAAAGCGACACGCAGGAGGTTGTGAAGCTGGCACGAGGACCACCACATCTACCTAAAAATGAGGAATCTGGAGGGGCCTTTGTTCGATCGCACATCACATCGAGAGCAACCTTGCCCCCTCCACCTGGGGTCAGGGCTCAGATGATCACTGGCGCTGTGAATTTTTCAAGGACCCTGGACAGTTCTTTTCTTTGACTAAGGACTGGATGGTAAATAATTTAGGCTTTTGAGGGCCAAGAGGCAAAATGGAGAGGATATTATGTAGGTACTTATATAACAAGAGAGAAAAAAATTCACAATGTTTTTATTGATGAAATTCAAACTGTAATAATAGAGTACAATTTTTTGCAGTACACACCCACTAATGAGAGGAAAGGAGTTCCCTTCTGAAGGGGATAATGTGTCTCTTAATTGGGGTTCAATGGTATTGTAGCTATTATCACATACATACACAAATGTTCAAGTGTAAAATAATGCTTAGCTCTCTCGTACAAACAGGCAGCATGTGGATCTGGCCTGCAGGCCAGTTTGCAGACCCCTGTGATCTGCACCAGTGATCTGCAGTGGGTTTGGGGGTATTCCAGGTTGGGGGTCGCTCCTGCTTGCGAGGCACCTTCATCGCCCTTCCCTCACCCTCCCTCTGTGCCCAGTTAATCTGGTTCATTGACTCTCCCCCGCGAAGCAGGACAGAAAGGTCAAGATTAGGGCCTGGAGCTCTCCCACGGAGCCAGGCCCTCCAGGGTTTCTCATCCTACAGCCCTCGGTGTGTAGCAGGCCACGCCTCGCAGCACCCTCCTCGCAGCACCCTCGGGCTCTTCCTCCAATCCTCGCCCCTCTCTCTCTCTCTCTCTCTCTCGCTCCTCCAGCTACTCCTCCCGCCCTCATCCTCTCCAACACCCGTTCCCCTCCCGCCCTCCTTCCTCCCTTTCCCTTCCAGCTCCTCCGCCCCCGCCCCGCTCCCCCAGTTCTGCCTCCTGCAGCTCCTCCTCCGGGTCCTGTTGCGGCACTTTCCCACTCCACCTCCGCCTCCAGCGCCTCCTCCCTCAGCTCCGCCCCTCCAGCTCCTCCTACCCGGCCCGCGGCTGCGTCTTCCTGCTCTTCCCACCCCGCAGCTCCTCCTCCCTCAGCTCCGCCCCTCCAGCTCCTCCTACCCGGCCCGCGGCTGCGTCTTCCTGCTCTTCCCACCCCGCAGCTCCTCCTCCCTCAGCTCCGCCCCTCCAGCTCCTCCTACCCGGCCCGCGGCTGCGTCTTCCTGCTCTTCCCACCCCGCAGCTCCTCCTCCCTCAGCTCCGCCCCTCCAGCTCCTCCTACCCGGCCCGCGGCTGCGTCTTCCTGCTCTTCCCACCCCGCAGCTCCTCCTCCCTCAGCTCCGCCCCTCCAGCTCCGCCTCCGGGGCCCGCGGCTGCGCTTTCCCACTCTTCCCACCCCGCAGCTCCTCCTCCCTCAGCTCCACCGCCTCCAGCTCCTCCTCCCCCAGTCGCGTCCCTCCCGCTCCCCTCTCCCAGCTCCGCCCCTCCAGCTCCGCCCCCTCCAGCTCCTCTTAGCTCCGCTCCTGCCGGTGTCTGCCAGTCGCGCTTTCCAGCTCTCGCCACAGGGTCCCGTGTTACCGCCGCCTCCGCCGCCCCGCGCCTGACCATGCCCAACATCGTGCTCTTCAGCGGCAGCTCGCACCAGGACCTGTCTCAGCGCGTGGCCGACCGGCTGGGCCTGGAGCTGGGCAAGGTGGTCACCAAGAAGTTCAGCAACCAGGAGACCAGGTGGGGGCCGGGCCGGGGAGGGCGCTGGGCGCGCGGCTGCGGTGCCGGGCCGGCGCCGGCGCTTACCTGGGACCCCCTCGGCGGCTGCCCGCTCCCCCTTCCGGGGCGGGACGGCCGCTACGCGGCCTCCGCGCCACCGCCGCGGCGTCCGGGAGAAGC